GCCACAAAGCAAGCCTTAACAGAATCCAAAGCATCGAAATATTACAAAGCATCTTTTCTGACCATAAAGCCATAAAAGTAGAAATCAATAATAGAAAAAGCAAGGAAAAAAAATCAAACACATGGAAACTGAACAACACCTTGCTCAAAAACTACTGGGTTATAGAAGAAATGAAGGACGGAATAAAGAAATTCATAGAATCAAATGAGAATGAAAACATATCTTACTAGAACCTTTGGGACACAGCAAAAGCAGTACTCAGAGGTCAATTTATAGCAATAAATGCACACATCCAAAAAAAAAAGAAAAAGAAAGGGCCAAAATCAAAACATTAACTCTACAACTTGAACAAATACAAAGAGAGCAGCAATAGAAGCCCTCGGGCACCAGAAGAAAGGAAATAACAAAAATCAGCGCAGAAATAAATGAAATAGAGAATAGAAAAACAATTGCGTTAACAAGACCCAAAGCTGGTTCTTTGAAAAGATCAACAAAATCAATAAACCACTGGCCAAATTGTCAAAACATCATTATTATTAATTACTGTATCATTATGTTAAAGATGTTTTAGTGTATCTAGAAGTGTTTCTTTAATGTTTTTTACACACAGAAAGGTACACTATATACTATATACTAAGGCAAACATTTGACTAACTGATGATAAATACCAACCGTACCTAACCGTTCCAACTTACATACAAATTTGACTTAAAGACAGACTTAGATATGGAACTTGTTCGTAATCTGGGGATTGCCTGTATACCCAAGAGCAGGGTGGCTGGGTCACAGGGTATACATATCTTTGCTGTCATAAGTATTGCCAAACACCTTTCCAAAGTGGTGGTACCCACTCACACCCTCACCAGCAGTGGATGGGAGTTCTGACCTGCTATTCTAAAGATGTCTGGGCTCTGGTTTGCTCATTCTTCATTTGCTTACGGAACCTTTCCTAAGCCCACACCCGTGGCATGCTGGTGCTCTGTTAGCGGCTCAGGTCACGGGGTGCATGCTGCCTGCCAGGCCTGTCCCCACTGAGCTCACAGTTAGAGAGGGTCAGACAGCTGTGCACAAACGCTTCAGGATGTGCTGGTGACACCAGGAGAGGGACCGGACATCTGTCATGGGCACTGCCAGGGTGCAGATCTTTGAAAAATTGAAGCTAGGAAACAGGCCACTTGAGGGCCTTAATCCACTTCTGTAGGTGAGGGGTGAGAACTAGAATTGGGGGCAGGACGTCCCTATTTTGGAAGGAACCCCTTGGGCAAGCCATTTGAGGCTTGCAGCTATGGGGTTCTCAGGGAAGCGCTGAGCCCAGGAAGTCATCCAAAGGCCTCGTGCTATGATAGTGAGTTTGCTATTTAATAATGCAAAAAGCCTGTCTCCACTGAACTCAGAATTTATAGCTGTGGAGATTTCTTGCATGTTAAGGATTTTTTTTTTTGCTCCGCTTGGCTGGGATCAGGTCCCCAGGTGGCCCAAATGGTTTGCACTCAATTACTAACCAAAAGGATAGTGGTTCAAACCCACCCAGCAGTACTGCGGAAGAAAGGTGTAGTGATCTGCTTCTGTAAAGATTACAGCCAAGAAAACCCTATGGAGCAGTTGCACTCTGTTATATGGGGTTGCCACGTGTTGGAATTGACTTTACGGACACGGGTTTTTTTTGGCAGATACCAGAGAGGGCAATAGAGCAGAAGTCCAGGGGCCTGGTAGGAAGGATGAACAAGCAACCACCAGGGGGCACTGTGGAGGTGGCATGGCCCCAGACTCCAGGAGCAATTGATCTTTTTTATTACTTTGTGGTTTCCTTTTATTAGTCTTAAACCTTAGTAAACTTTGCTCAGCAGCCAGGTATTAGCTGTGCTTCCAGGGTTATGGGTGGGCGGTGCCCATGTTTAGGGGAGAGGGAGCTGCCTGGAGATGTGGCCCCAAGACAGGAAGATGAGTAATGACCAGGATGGCTGGGTCTGGCCCAGGGTTAGTGTTAGGGCCTATTCCAGGGGGCTTTCTGGAGGAGGGGGCATTAAACTAAGACCCCTAAGGACGAGTAGGAATCAGGCAGGAGAAGAGGAGGGGAAATTGTGTAAGGCAGAGAGACCAGCATGTGGAGAAACCTAGAAGAGGGGCACTTTCCTTTGTGAAGCTGAAGTCGGTCCAGCATGTTGGAGTCTAGAGCTAGGAAGGGGAGGGTGGAGAGAGCGCGGATGAGCCCTCTGGGTGGGGGGGCCAGACTTCACCCTGCAGGTGGGGGAAGTGCATGAGGGTTTCAGTTGGGAGATGACTCCATGAGGGTTGAACTGGACAAGCACCTGGAAGAGCAGTGGAGGTGACCCAGACTGAGCAGCGCCACTGGGAGTAAAAAACCAAAAGCCAAACCAGTTGCCATCATGTCAACTCCAACTCATGGTGACCCCATGTGTGTCAGAGTAGAACTATGCTCTATAGGGTTTTCATTGGCTGATTTTTTGGAAGTAGATCGCCAGCCCTTTCTTCCGAGGTGCCTCTGGGTAGACTTGAACCACCAGCCTTCTGGTTAGCAGCTGGGTGCATTAACTGTTTGCATCACCCAGGAATTTGCCATCCGGGGAGTGAGGGTATTTTGGAGGTTGAGTGACACCCCCGCCCCCATCGTGGGGTGATGGATGCAATGAAGAGGGGTAGAAAGAGCTGGGGACAGGGATGAAAGCCAGCCACAGAATGGAGCCAGGAGAAACCCCCTGGGGGTCCTACCTTTGCATATATACTGCTCCACCTCCGAGGGATCCTGCAGCTGGAATTCCTTGTCTCGATAACTGAGTTTTCCTGTCCATTCATACTCACATGGCTGCTTTTTGAGTTTCAGCACGAGTGGACACCTGGTGGTAATACCTGAGAGAGATTTTCCCAAACGTCGTAAGTTTCCTATTAAAAAAGCATCACTGGTGCCTTTTACTCTTAATCTCCCAGCGATTTCCCCAGCGTCCCCGCAGGCCCTGTCTGCACTTCCTGGTGCTTTCTAGGGCCCCATGGTAAGTGCAGGGTAACCTGGATAGGGCAGGTGAGCACAAGGCTTGGGAAACAGCTGCCTTTGCTGCTGCTGCGAGTGGCTGACGCAGGGAGTGGTCACTGGCGACTCCCAGCTGGTCATGAGCAGTGGTCCCCACCATGCATTCTGTAGTGAAATGTGCGGATGTTGAGACCCTGGTGCATCTCAGAGCCCCCAGTGCCCCTGGGGCCGGAGCCAGCCCCTTACGTGTTTGCGTGGGACCTGCGTTGTCCAGGCGGGCCACTCCGGGAAGGGGAGCAAATGGAAACGCAAACCAGTGAGACCTGCTCATGTGCATCCAACTTCCCTGCACCCTGCACTCTGGATCGGAGGGTGGGGTGTAGTGAGAGCCTGGGAGAGAAGCTGGAAATCACGAAGGAAGGGGTCAAAGGGTGCTCTAAAGGAGCGGTGTATGGAGACACCCCGCAGGGAGGTAGGAACCATCTGACCAAGCTGGTGCCCTGGAGATTCTCGGGACGCTCAGGTCACTGCTCTTAGTGAAGCCCGAGTCCCTGGGTGGTGCAAATGAGCACGTTAACTGTTTGTACTACCTAGGGACTCCACACTCTTAGAAAGACCGCTGGAAAGAAACAAGGTCGCTGCTGGGACCTTGACTGACACAGGGGTGATGGTTGCTTAGATGTGAACGGTGAACAAGAAAACAGACGGCAGAGCAGGACACCCAGGCCCCCTCTGACTCCCCCATGCACTCCCGAGCCTAAGCTGCCCAGGACATGGAGGAGCTGCCCTCCCAGGCTCTCTAACAGCAGCCTGTCTCTTAAGCTGGTTGGTCCCCAAAGGATGGTTTGATGCCACTTGCTATTGAGCAAAGTTGCTTACCGCTGCCCCTGGGCAGGGCGACGCCTGACAGAGCCTCCAGCACCGAGCTCTTCCCGGAGCTCTGGTCCCCGATGACAGCAATGGCAGGCAGCGCCAGGTCCTGCTCCACGCCCAGGGCCCGCAGGGAGTCGATGAGGTCGATGCAGGGGCGCACCTTCTCCTCGTACTGGCTGCACAGGATGCTCTCGGTCCACTGCAGAAGGCAGACAGACTTCACTGCCCTGGTTTCAGGTTGGGTTTTATCCCAGAGGTTCCCACCCTTGTCAGGAACTGGTGGCAGAATCTGTGCATCTATGAATGTTGGGTGGCATTAACGGTGAAGCACTTGACTACTAACCAAAAGGTTGGCAGTTTGAACCCACTACAGGAGCTTCGGAAGAAAGGCCTAGTGATCTGCTTCCAAAAGGTCACATCGTTGACCCTATGGAGCACAGTTCTACTCTGACATACATGGGGTTACCATGAGTTGGAATCTACTCGACAGCAACTGGTTTGGGTTTTTTGATTTTATTTTTGGATGTTGGGTTGCAGACCAAGGCTGGGGGGAGGTGGATCAAGATGTGCCTCAAGGGAGGGCCTATGCTCTTTTCATATTGGAGTGTCTTCAGGAGAGCAGAGTATTTGGCTGGGGTGGAGAAGGAAGTGCCTCCCAAAGGAGGAGTTGAAGGTGGATCTTTGCTTTTGGGGAGAAGTTGGGAGAAAACAAGGCACCAAGAGGTGGCAGCTCCCAGCCAGAGGCAGGTAAGGTGCTGGGCCCTGGGGCTGCACAGGTGGGGAGGATGGGGGTGTGGAAGTTACACTGGCTGTGGTGACAGGAGCTGTAGCAGCTGATGGAAAAGCTTCCAGGAAGGATCCTCAGCATGTGTATTGGGAAGACGGTGTGTTGTACAGCCTTGCAACTCTTACCCAGGCTCCCGAATCAGAAGCCTTGGGTTCTAGAACATTCTCTGATAATGAAGGCTGGGAACTGAGCCTCCCTCTGTCCTGATTTCTTGTTCTTCCTTATCAGGAAAGCTCCTTCCTTGTTTCAGGCCTAATGAATACCTCTTTGTTCTGCTTATGATGTAAATCTTGTGGCATCCTGGTCAACCCCACTGCTATATCTGTTCCTGGCAGGGAGGGAATGGAGTTCCTCAGGGGCAACACAAGTGGGGTGTGTGCAGAACAGCCCTGAGTCAGCTGTTGGGAGTGACCTGCTGGCCATGGGGGACCAGTTCCCACTATTGAAGCTGACCTTGCTCTGTCTTTTCTCCATGTGGGTAAAGTGTTATTCCACCCAATGCCCATGTGTAAGTGTCTTTACTGGCAACCTTGGACCTTGGCTCAACAACATGGAACAGAAGTCCCTAGTCCCAGGTATCAGAGGTCCAGTGCTGCTGCAGAGACTGTGTGTGTCCCTGGTACTTGTTGGAAGTGACCAGAAGAGCTAGGGGACAGAGCTGTGCATTGAGGCTGGACTGATTTGCTGGTTTTATCACCTTGGTGGGCTGACCCCATAGCCATTCACTGGCACTCATCTGGCTGGTGGCTAGAACAGTCCCTTCCTGAATGCCCTCATCTGACTTACCTTTGCCCTCGGCTGGCTCCTGTTCTCTCCTGGTGGCGTGCTGGTGATCTGTTGGTTCAGCGTCAATGAGGTGAAGTGCATGTCAAGGTCTCCTGCCTGCTGGTTTTGGGGAAACTTCCTCTGTTTTTGTGCTGTGCCGAATGACGGCTGTGGCCGTTTTGGTAAACTCATTTCTTTTGGGAGATGGTGTTGGAAAGAAAGTGGATTTTGCTTCTGGAGTGGTGAAGACTTGTGGACCTTAGGCATTAGCTATTGCCAGTCAAGTCTGGAGGGTACTTTTCCTGTTGCTCAGTGCTTCCGATCTCCTTGGAGAACTCTGTAAAGACACAAAATAGGAGAGACATCCAAGATCACCAAGAAGTCCTTCCCCAGGCTCCATGTTTGTTAGCCCCTCCTTGCCTCAACCCAATGCAACCCAATACCTGCCCACAACACAGAAGAAACCACTAGCCCAGCACAGGCCCCCACATCTGCAGGAGGAGCTCCTGGCAGCAAAGAGTCACAGAACACAAGTGAGGGTCTCTTTAGTGCCCAGGGCTTGCGGACAAGAGGCGACTAGGTTTCACATTACTGTGGGAAAGTTTCAATGGCCCTCTGTCATTTCTGATGAGATAGAAACCATACTGTTTCATCTGTGGCATCACCCCTCCTCTGGTTCAGTTCTGGGCAGGAGAATTGGTAGGGGTGCAGAGATGAGAGGTAGCATGTCTTGGGCCTGCTTGAAGCAAACCTAGCCCTGCTGTAGCTATTTCAGAACCAGAAGTGGGGTTTGTGTCTTACATTTTCGCCTAAAAATGACTCAGATCACGGCCCGTCTGCAAATCCAACCTCTTGCTGGACTTGCCACCCATGTCCAATCCAGGGATCATGCAAATCATGGGAATTTCCTTACTTAATTTCACTCCACATGCTTTCCTACATATGATTCAAGTGTCTCTTAAGTCCATAAGATCATACAGCAAGTATCCTTAACCCAGAGACACAAGCAGGATGCCACATTATCTTGTTGTTCCTTGCCCTCAAGTGGGCTCTAACTCATAGTGACTTATATAGTTGGTGAAAAACAAGGCTCCAAGAATTGACAGAATATCAATTGAGATGCTGCAACAAATGGATGCAATGCTGGAAATGCTTCTTAATCTATATCAAGAAGTTTGGAAGACAGCGACCTGGCCAATTGACTGGAAGAGGTCCATATTTGTGCTCATTTCGAAGAAAGCTAATCAAATAGCATGCAGAAATTATTGAACAATATCATTAATATCTCATCCTAGCAAAATTCTGCTGCACAACACAAAGAAGACAATTTAAAAAAACTGCTGCAGCCACTGCAGCCACACATTAACAGGAAGTTCAAGCTGGACTTCAAGTCAGAACTTCAAGCTGATCGATACTATAGCCAAAACAGTGGACTCAAACATACCAATGAGCATGAAGATGGCACAAAACCAGGCAATGTTCCATTCTGTTATACATAAGGTCACCATGAGTCAGAGCTGACTTGATAGCAACTGTCATGGATTGAATTGTGTCCTCCAAAAATATCTGTCAACTTGGCTGGATCATAATTCCCAGTATTGTATAATTGAGTACTATTTTGTCATCTGATGGATTTCCTTATGTGTTATAAATTCAATCACTATGATCTAATAAGATGGATTAGCGGCAGTTATACTGATGAGGTCTACAAGATTGGAGAGTGTCTTAAGCCAAAAAGACAGAAGTGAGCAGAGACTCATGGGAACCTCATACCACCAAGAAAGCAGTGCCGGGAGCAGAGCGTGTCCTTTGGACTTGAGGTTCCTGCGCTGAGATGCTCCTAGACTAAGGGAAGACTGACGCAACATAAGGACCTTTCTCCAGAGCCGACAGAGAGGGAGGGCCTTCTCCTGGTGCTGATGCCCTGAATCTGGACTTGTAGCCTACTGGACTGTGAGAGAATAAATTTCTCTTTGTTAAAGCCATCCACTTGTGGTATTTCTGTTATAGCAGCACCAGATGACTAAGACAGCAACTAACAACATTATTAATTAAAGGCCATAGTTTATATTGGGGTTCACTCTTTGTGTTGTACAGTCCTATGAGTTCTGACAAATGCGTAATGTCCTGTACTCACCATTAAAGTATCCTACAGAATAGTTTCACTGTCCTAAAAATGCCCTGTGCCCCACCTATTCATCTCTCCCCCTTCCCTTGACCTTCTACCCATTTTTGAGAAAACTAAATCCATGACTAGGAGGCCTCTGTTATTCAGCAGTCACTGCACTATGGGTTCCTCTCCAGGGTTCTGGCCCCAACTCAAAGCTTCTGGAAGCCCAGAATAAATATAAAGGACAGGAGATTGAGGTTTTGCCTTGGAAGGAGAAGAAAGGAAAGAGGGACTGAAAAACAAAGAAGACAGACAGCAAGACAGAAGGAAAGGAAAGAAGAAGAGGCAAGAACCAGGGTGCAGCCTACAGGGAAGAAAGAGCAGAGAGGAAAGAAAATGGCAGGGAACAGACAAGAGGCAAGAACCAAGGAGGCTACAACCAAGGACAGAGGCCAAGGAAATGAGGAAGGATAGTAAGGCCTTCCTAAAAGGGAGATGGGACCAAGGAGAAACAATAAAGCCAGTTGAGCCAAGAGTTTGCCTTTTGTTTAAAGTATGACTCAGTTTGCTGCTGGGCTGAAAGAAATGGAGTTGCTTTTAACTCTTTAAGGCAGCTACTTAACCCATAAGCTGCCAAGTATTGCCAAGGGCAACCAGGCTGGGAGCCTGTAATAGAAGAAACAATCATTCTAGTTTTGGGTAAATCAGAAGTTAGTAAGAGAATAGGTGGGAGACCTGTCTTTTCCAGAAGAAAACGTTCTGGGAAAATTCCTCTCTGGGGGTAGCCTCTGATGTTTCTACAAGACCAACAACCTTTCTCTTGCCCATATTGACAATTCCTTGTAGCCATGCCCCTCAGTCTCTGTCTTTCTGTCTTACTAATGACCACTTCTACGCTCCTAACTTGATATGAACCTGCTGCCCCATCCTCAGAAGGTGAGAGGGGAAAAACTCATTCTGCCACAGAAGAAACAGGGATGTTGATATATCCTTCTTCAACCGGGCATCTTGCTGTATCTTTAGAGTCATTATTCTAAAATTAAAAAGGTTGCACTTAATCTGTATAAACCCTAGACCGATCGGTGGCGACAGTGTGCCTTCTGTAATATTAACTAGGAATTTATTTTCTCCTGAAATCAGAATACAACAAAAACAATCTGGTTAACTGACATTTGGTCAGAGTTTTCAGAAAAGAGGAAGGAAATCATTAGGACTCATGAGTTCACGTCTAAACCTTCACCCATCCTCTGCTTAATGCTGGGGTTCTATGTTTAATGGAGAGGAGAAGGTAAACATCTGATTTTCCTATTGTAAAAATGCTACGAAGCTCTTTTAGCTCAGCTGATAACTGCCCTGAGGCACCCCACTCCGCCAGTAAGCCTCTGCCTGAAGGCGCTCAGTTCTAGCTCCGTGGGTCTGCAAACCTAGCTACACCAAGTGCCCAGAGGCACCCTACTCTGCCAGCAAGCTTCCTGCCCCAAGGCACTCAGCTTTTTCTCTTCATGGGCTGGGAAGCTCACTGCACTGTTTCCTGCTGGTCTCCTGCCTTGCTACCACCACTTCTCACCATCTTTAGTGTTACAGATCTCTCTCTCTCTCTGTCTCCTGGTTCCAGGAGCTTCTCAGCACAGAGATCCTGGGTCCAAAGAACACGCTCTGTTCTTGGCTCTTCTTTCTTAGTGGTGGTGAGATCCTCTCCTTCCGCCTGTGGGATGGCTCATTTTAAGCCTAGTGGGATGGCAAAATTGACCAAGCCTCTTGATGGGTCACAATGACCTTATCTGCACAGTCCCATCCAATCACTTGGGTGGGAGTTACAAGACCATGGCAAGAAAGGCCATATAAAAGTGATCCATGGCACCGCAGGCCACCCCCTGGCTTTTCTAGCCATAGTTCTTTCATGCTTAGAGAACAACTTCCCCCTCCCAATCATTTTATGAGTTCAAAACAATCATCAACAATTAGTCCTTCAGTAGGGCAAAGAGTCCTCAGGGTGAGGTGACTCAGGTACCAGCCATTAATGTCTGCTGCAGGTATCCATCTGACCTGGTCAGGTTCTCCAAAAGTCATCTTGGCTTCACCCTTCCTGGTGTTTGATAAAATTTAACTGAGAGAAGATTATTCCCTTGCTCTGAGCCTCACCAGCTATCAGCATAGCAAAACCTTTAAGAGACTTTAGGTTCGGCCACTGTCCTTGAGCCCTGCAGTGCCTCCCCCTTAGTCTACTCTTTTATACTTACACCTTCTACAATTGCAGTTTTTACAGTCACAATTAACTTTGTTAACAATCAACACTCACAGCTGAATCATATAATCCTATCAACATCTCCCCCACCCTCTCTTCCCCAGACCCATCAGGAAAAAAGGAAACAATTCAGTGGGGATCCTCCTTTGTCCCCCTCATGTTGAGTGTGAGCACACCCACAAAAGTGTGTAAGCCAGCCACTTCATGCCTTTATCTCCCTCCATTTTAGATAGCCAATGTTTAAATTGCCCATCCCTGTCAAACCAGTACGGAGGAGACAAGCATGTTCCTTGTTCTTGAAGAATCTTCTGTTCCCGTTGGAACTTCGAGCATCTGCATCCATAAGCAAAGTCCAGTCCACAGCAAGCCATTAAATTCCAGCAGTCTATACCAGTTCATGGTGTCAAACATCTTTCTCTTCATTTGGTTGGGTTCTGGTCAGCTCATCCCTAGCCATCCAAGCTAGGTCACAATGGGTAGCCCCTTCTCTCTCTCTCATCCCTAGCCCCCCTAGGCTGGGTCAACGGGTTCCGATGGAACATGTCCAGACTCAGCCCGTCTCTTCATTGTTGTACTTCCCCCACTTCCACTCATGAATGGACCCAGGTGGTCACCACAAGCAAGCATATCAAGCTGTCTACTCACTGGCACCCTTTAACTCCCAGTCCTGGAAGGGGGTTCTAATAGGCACTGACTTTTCCTGCCTCAATGTACCCAAAGGCAAAGCATTTGATTGTTCGAAATTCAAAAAGCAAAACAGTCTTTTTTTCTGCAGGTCCTTCCTTCAAATGCAAATCTCCTGTTCTGTCAGCAGTTCTACATGTCTTTTCTCAAATGCAAAATCTGGGCAGGGCTCGGATTTTCAACCTAATATCCCACTCTATACACAGGGCTACTGGCTTGAAACAAAAAGCCTGTGTTTCTTCGGGCAAATCCTAGTTCTCCTTTTAGCATATCCAATCGAGTATTGGCTGAAGGTGGA